AACGAAGAAGTAGATTCAGTATGAAGAAGTATTTCTTTGATTGACACTCACCTGTATCAAAAATGAAAATAATATTATAATTTCATATGAACAATAAGAAGTTCTACACATTTTTGTAGTTCACTTTCATAAATATTATTATATTATTCAATTAATATTGAATGCTTTACTGAATGCTAATTAAATAACTCTGAAATGCATTGACTCTGCAATAACTCTGGAATTAAATAACTCAGAAAAGCATTGAATAAAGCTATAAAAAAAAGATGTACTGAAAAGTCTGAATAAGTAATACTTCGTACATAATACTTCAAAAAATAAAAAACACTAAATGTATCTTTCAAATTCCTTTATTTACATTAAAATAATCCAAGTTGATTCTGCAGCTATCACATATATAGAATACAAATGATTATACAAAATAAAAATTGTTCATTCCAAGTGTAACAAGCTAGAACAAAATTACGAACTAATTTCCTGGTCTGATTATATCAATTGAATTCAAAATGGCACAAAAAATTTTCCACTCCACCATAACCACATACATAAATCCACAGCCTACTAATAGCCCATATAAAATCAGATCTAACCTAAAACAATTAAATTAAATAAATCTAATAAAGCAAAACTAAAACAGGAAACAGTTTGGTTTACAAAAGTTCCAGCCTCAAACTAACTACTCCGTCTCCTATTTCAGTCACAGAAATTGAAAGAAGGTTGAGCGGGCATCGGGGGATCCGGTGGCCGGAATAAGTGCAGATCGCGTATTTCAGCGCCTTAAAATGGATTCTTGGCCGGTGTACCAACATCTTTCTCTTACGGCCACTCGTCTTCTTCCCTCTTCCACGACAGCTTCACGGTGCCGTCCGCCGGCCGCACGGTGTCGGAATGAAAAATCACGGCGGCCCGGGTGACCGTCGGCCAGATAGCCGGTGACCGGCGTGCAAAGGGAAATCTCATTCCCGGGGAGCGTCTGTAAAAAGTCTGGGGAATTTGTAGAGGCCGTGGCCATCGCAGGAAATGGCCCCGAACGGGCCGGGCTCCCCGTACGATCCAATTCCTCGCCGACGGGATTCGTTTACCTCTCCGGCAGTCCTACCACGTACGACTTCCGCGTTGACTTTAACTATCCGAGCGCGGTTTAACTCTTGAACGACGACACCGGTTTACTTCCTTCCCACTTTGACCACTTAGGGCCGACACACCTCGCCCTGGATCGACTTTCCCTGCAGCGGTCTTTGTAACCTAAAATATGACATTGGCCCTAAGTGTCCGACGGTTGAATCAATGCCGCGAAAGCAGAGGAGTGTGTACTACCATCTCGTTTTTTCGGTGACATTCTAGGCTAATTAAACTCAGTTTCGTTCCTCGGATAACAGAGCGGAAGATTCGAACTCTGTTTCGATCTTTATAACCTGAAATACAGCGTTGTTCGTAAGAGTCTGCAAATTTGAATTATTAGCGGAAACGTAGGGAATTGTATACTACCATTTTGTTTTTACCGGTGACATCCTAGCCTAAGTAATCTAATTTCTGTCCATCGCATAACAGAGCTGAAAATTCGATTTCTGTTTCGATTTTTATAACCTGAAATATGCTATTCTTCGTAAGTATCAGCTAATTGAAACTAACAACGGGGAAGTAGATAAATATATGTTCTACCATTTTGTTTCAATGTGGTCATCTTTATTTTTGTCCGTCAGTTGAGGGACCACGAAATTTCAATTCTTCTTTGATCTTTATAACCTGAAATACGCTATCGTTTATACATTCCACGAGGCGCAATATCTTGATTAACAGTGAATATTAGATAGCTATATACTGTACCACTTTCTTTTTCCAACGTCATTCTTGCTGGATTAATTAAACGCTTCTGTTTTGAGTATCTAAACACTTATTTACACTGGACACAAGACTAGAAGCACGCCTTATCAGAGTTATACGCAGTTGAATACAGAAAGTTACGAGGCTCAAATTCTGCTTCGATCTTTATAACCTGCAATACGCTATATTCTTGAGTACCTGATCGCAAAACAATAACAGAGGATTAGTTAAATGTATACTGTACCATTTGGTATCTCCGGTGTCAGTTTTATCGCACTAATTAAACACTTTTATCTTAATTTCTCAAGCACTTAATTAGACTCGACACTCGACACAACACTAAAGGAGCAGCGCGTCAAAACTGTGCGCATGCGCGATTCATCGCGACGCTTGCGCGGTTCATTGCGACGCTTCGCGCGGTTTATTGCGACGCATGCGCAGTTGAATATAAAGTTTTAATCTGGTTTTGGATTCTGTGCTCAATTAAGCGTACAAATTGTGTGAAAAATAACGAATTTAATTATCTTTTAATCATTCTTTCGACACTGTTTATTAAATATAAGTGGTTCTTTGATTATATTCGCATTTACGGATAAAATGTGCGGTGGAAATAAGCGTGCACCGTGCAGAATTATTGCAATCGAAGTGACTTAACCTTACATGATAGAAGTACACAGCCGAATTATCAACTTCAACTTGTTTTCAAGGTTCGTATCGACGCTTTAGTAAATCTACTATATATGTTTCACTGTTCCGACTATAACATTATTGCAATCGAAGTGACTTAACCTTACATGATAGAAGTACACAGCCGAATTATCAACTTCAACTTGTTTTCAAGGTTCGTATCGACGCTTTAGTAAATCTACTAT